TTCAAGCTTCAATCATGCACGCTTAGACTTAATTATTTACATAATTGTTACTAAAGTTATTTTACACCAAATTGACCGATTACAATTATTACGTAATAATCGATGCATGACAAGATGGCGTGAAGATTTTCAGTTGGAATGGAAAAAATTGGCGGTTAAAACAATTAGTAATAATCCTAAATGGATTACTAATCTTTCAAACTGGGTTTGTTCATGTCCTAGTTTTCTTTTGAGCCGTTTTTATATTTGTAAACATTTGGTGAAAATGCGTAGCCCTGTAGAACCTGGATTTTTTAAAACCGTAAGTGCATTACAATTATTAGCTATTTATTTATAATAACCATGCTTATTTTATATTATTAACTTTAAATTTATAAGGTTGTACGTCAGGAATCATATCCATTATTAGCAATTGAAAAAAACAAAGTATTTTATAACTTACCAAAGGATCTATTTACTGTGGTCGCAAATCTTAATTTCGAAGTAAATCAATCAATTAATTATGATGCATGAGTCAATTCTCAAGAAACATTCATCCATAATACACAAGGCAATTCTTAAGAAACGTCTATTCATAATACACAAGTCAATTCTCAAGAAACTTCTATTCAAGAAAACAAAGAAAATATTAATTTGGATGAAGAAATAATCGATATTACTGATGATCATGAACTTATTCTATTTCAAAATCGAAAGCAAGAAATATTTGAATTGCTAGATACAACCAAAAAAATTCTTAATGAAAATATTACAAATCCGAATTGTAATAATTGGCTAAACAATATTGATAAAACTTTTAATCCACTTCGCAAATTGGTAGAGGATTACAATCGATTTAAACGACAAAGAAATATGCCACAAACCTGGAATCGTAACAGCAATACATTTTGGTTGTGAAAATATTTTCTATAGTTAGGTTATACTTTTTTTAACATATTGTTTATAAAAAATTTATAAAATATTTCTTAAATTATTAAATATTTTAATTCAATTCAAATATTTTTTGTAGTATTTGTATGTATACAATTCAGATATGCTGTAAAGCTCTCGAATACAATATACTGAACACTTAATTTAATTTAAATACTTGATAGCATGAGTTTGAATATCCGTAATTATGCAATTGCAAGGTAAAGTATTTATTTATGATTTATTTATTTTTGAAAAGAGCCACGGTATATATTTAATTTAATTAAAAATAGATACTAAAATCGATGCAACAAAGAAATTTACAATAATTGAAGTTGGGTTATGTATAATCTTCGCTAACAATTTTAATAAGGGATAACGCACTTTCAAATAATTTCTGAATAAAATCAAAACAATGTGTTAGGATTTTGCAATATATATGTATATATTTAGCGTCAGTTATAAAGTTGCTAACTAAAAAAGGTGAATCGGCTATTGCAAAGCATGCTAATAAATTTTCAACTTGCATTTTTTATATATAACTTATGTAAAATTTTTTCCGAGCCGTGTATTGGTATCTATTAGCGTTAGATTATTGCATATGTCATATCACGTGATATGTGTATCACATGATTTGAAAAAAATTTGGGTGGCGATTTAACCCCTGTTTGTTTATGTTCAAGTGTCCCGATTCCGACAATAGGGACCTGGTCTCGAACCAATCTTCCTTGCTTTTCGAGTAAGCTTCATTGCGTTTTATGTTTTTGTTGTGGTTTGGTTATAGAGTCGTGGAGATCCGAAACTGACCGTCACATTGTGTTAAAGTCATGGGACAACTTGATATATAGTGATATTAATCTATCCAACCAAATTACCAAACCTTTTATTTTTCATCTTATTGTAAATAAAACATCCGCATGTACATAGTTTATCAGTGTTTCCCCATCCATTCTTGTAATTTTAGTATATTTATTAATTCCTTTTGATTATACCAGTACGATCACATGCATGTGTAACATGAAATGTGTGTGAGGGAGGGTTTCAATAAACTTTTTATATTTTGGCTACAGTATAAAATTAACGCATTCAATTTATGACTTTATGAGTTGTATACAAAATTAACGTA